CCTTGCCCATAGGGAAAATCCACAAGGGAAGGACTTTTCTTTGCTAATTAATTAATAGGAAAACCTTTCTTTGAATGAACACACATGATCCTTCAGGTCATTGGGTATATTATTGTCATCGTGTATTTTGTCTTTGAAATTGTATACTGTTATGCAGGCTTATAATCGAAACACACTCCTGTCAGCTTACATATATATAACCCTACCATGTTTAGTATCTATGAATTCGTATTCGGATGATCTAATTGAGAGTGTATATTGTATGTTTACACCTACGCAACATATTAGTGTTCTAAGAGTCTTTAGTAATTTTTATCCAAGTTTCATATGCAAATTACCATGCTTTCAAACAAAGGGCCATAAAAACGCCCCAGTATCTCAGAACTCCCACTTGAGATTCCGGACTTCCTCATTGGACAAGCCCATCTTGAGAGGCGTGAATCTTTGCAGGCTTTAAAGGCCGAACTTCATGTGACCCGCCCAGTCGGTTGTTCTGTTAGGTTTCGATAAGACGCTCCAGAACATCCTAAGCTCGTGCCAGGCTTCGGCCTTGTCCTTTCCATTCATCAAGATCCTCTGACTCAAAACTGGTTCTTTTCATTGACCAACTTCAGCAAAGATCAACTGGAAACTTCAGATTACATCAAACCTCTCTTTCAGACAGATGAGACATGCAAGTATCAAACTTAATCTTATTAATTAGGTATCATTTGCACCTTTTTACAAAGGTGTGTTTGAACTAAGAATCTGATGTTTCCCTCGGGCAGATCTGCTGAATATGCAAATGGTTCTATAACTTCATATTCTTATTTCTCTTCTCTTTACTGCGTTAAGCTTTTAACCCTTTCCTATACAAGCGGTGCGTGTGTGTATGTTAGACTAGTTTAAGTGTTTATGTAGTTAATAAAACCTTACTTGTATCACACTTGACGAGGTTCATTGTTTGCTCATAACTGGAGTCACTTAATCATGCAGATTTATGCTACAAGCTTTTGTAGAATTGTACAGTAAGGAAGTTATTTCCCTTAACAAGGAAATTAACGTTCTTAGAATTGACAAGACAGTTGACCCTGAGAGGTCAGCTAAATATCTACAGCGGATCTAAAATATTCATAATTAATTATAACTAGTTATGATTAATTATTCATATTTCCCATGAGCTGATTCGTTATACTTTTTAAAAGATGCCACTCATATGTTGTCCTTCATTGACTTGATTAATCCAGTGTCTGGAGACATACTCTTGGTTTCCTTTGATATTCAGTTTCTATATACATGTATACCACATAAAGAAGACGTTGACAGCATTGTTTATTTTCTGTCAGAACGTTTGATCCCTTCTAATGAATGTATCAAGACATTATCTGAGATTGTACTCTTCCATAATTATTATCTTTTAGAACAATTTTTTTTTTATTCAAAGAAGAGTTGTGGCCATGAGAAGTGCGTTTGCACCCTCTTTTGCAAATCTTTACATGGCATTTTTTGAAGAAAAATATGTGTGTTCAAATCATGCTTTTTCTTCGAACATTGATTTGGAAGAGATATTTGGATGATTGCTTTTGTCTTTTTAAAGGCGATGCTGAACAACTTAATTATTTTTATCAATATCTAAATAGTTGTTCTGATTTTCTGACATTTACTTTGGACTCTGATCCAAAGAAACATTTTGAATTTTTTTGGATTTGTGGATAATTTTGGTCGGACCTTCTTTATATACGGATCTGTTTAAAGGGGTCATATGATGCGATTTCAAGTTTTCCTTTCTCTTTGGAGCGTTACAAGCTGATTGTGCATAGATAAGATCCCTGAAGTTGCAAAGACTAAAGTCTCAAATCCAAAGAGATATTCTTTATCAAAGTTAAGACACTGCCACACCCCCCTAAAACGGCTTGTTCTAACACGCCCCCACATATCTACCTCACTATGTGGAAATATTTGCATAATGAGCGAGAGAGAGCGAGAGAGAGAGGGGGTCACATCACAGTGGAGTCAGCGGTCTTAACCGTGGCTTGTGTACTGCAAACACATACCAGCTTCATCACTGTGTCTGTCACGCGACTCTGTTCCCCTTTCGGGCTCTGTCTTTACATTTATTTTGAAAGATGAAGCTTGCGATTATGGTAAGGGGCGTTACATTTCCGACAAGTGCTTGCGGTGTTCGGCCAATCACAATGCACTGGTTCAGCTGGCCAATCAGAGCAGACTGCGCTTGTCGGAAGGAGGGACTTTGTAGAAAACGAAGCATTTGACAGAGGGCATAGAGGACCTACAATAATGTACAGTATTTGAAAAATAATGTGTTTTTTGAACATTAAAGCATGTCAACATATTCTGTTACACCAAATACACAAAATAATGATCTTTAAAAGAGCATCATATGACCCCTTTAAGAAAGCTCGCATAATAGCCTACGCTTGAGAGCTGACTCTTATCCATTAAAGGACAGTCTCCCTTACAATGTGCCGATTAAACAGAACATGTAGTGGACCAAATGATTTTCAATAAATCAATCAACATTATTTTGCAATCCCATGGAAAAAACTTGAACGTCTCTATGATCCCCTTCTCACGGTGTTTAGGCATGGATGTAACTAAAGAGACTATTTAGTGAGATCAGACTTGTCCCCTCCACCTGTAACAACCACATTAACTCTGTTTCGTGAAATGATCTGTGGTTCATGTAATCAGTGTAGTTATACGTACCGTTGTACATCGTTTAAACACCCGCACACTGGTAAATCAATTCCTATTAAAGGAATAATATGCTGTAAAACAAAAGCGGTTATTTACTTGATAACATGCCCTTGTAGGAAAAACAAACAGAGAACTTAAAACATGCATTGCAGTACATCGGACTACAATAAGATGTAGAAATATGAATTATCCATTAGCGATGCATTTTGTTTAGTTTAAGCATCCGTTTACCTCATTGCATTGTATAGGATTTGCGTTGTCTAACATTATTAGACACTAGCAGTAAAGTGATTACTTTTGAGGTAGGCTTTTATTTGAGACACAGTGGGTTAATATGACTTATTTTTTCAGTGTTACAATTGCCCACAAACATTGTTACAAGCGCCCCCAAGGGGGCAATTGTAACACTCAGAATTCTTGAATTTAATTTAATATTATAGTCTTGTCCTTATTAAGGAAAGATATCAATTGTATTATTTAGTGCACCTATTGTTTCTTGTATCTAAAGATGACTAGTGTATTTCAAGTAGTCTGTGAGTTATGAAGGAAAATGTAAATTTTTTTTTTACAATTGCCCCCAGGCTCCCCTACTAACACGTGCACTGATATTTAAGGCCTCTTTCTCCAGAGCTCAATTGTAAGTTCTTGGACACAATGTAATTTTTAAAGCACCCAGAAGACCTTTTGATCACCACACACATTTATTCAGACACCTTCAGAGTGTCTGTACTTTTACAAAATATTTCTAAGACTTTAAAGGTGTAATAGGTGATTGTCTTCAGAAACATTTTTTGTTATGCTGGTTGAAAGTCTCTTCACATACCGATAGCAATCATTAAGTTAAGTGGTCTAAATGTATTTATATATTTTGTGGAAGGCGTAGGACCAAGAAATGTTCGTCCAATCAAAACGCTCGATCCGAGCGTTTTAATAAGCTTTCCTACCTGCCTGTCAACTTATGTATCTGCATACCTCTGCGCACCCGGTTCGCGCAGACAGGACACGTCATCAGCGCGTTCATGCACGCTGTGCAGACAGAGCGAGGATGGCAGGCAAACATCAACAACCCGATCTTCCTTCCTGGTACTGTAGTACTTTTAAAGTTTTCTCACCAGTGAATGACGCATGACGTAGCCCAGCGATGAATCCAGTCCTCGCGCCCCCCGCTCTGCATATTTTGAATGTCTCGCTTAGTTAACACACCCGATTCAAATAACCAGCTCGTTAGAAGTGCGCTACGTGCATGAACTGTGTTCCTATCTATATGATCCCTACACAGTGTTCATTGCTCCCTCCTCACTGAGCGGGGGAAATACGTTGAAGTTTACTTCACTTCGGAACATGGGCTGGAATTGGGAACCGCTGATGTAGCCTATTGTAGTAATGTTGTCTCTGGTACTCTGGTCTGTGAGTGAGCGTATATGCAACAGGGGGCGTGGCTTTGGACGGCGATTGCAGGGAGGGTGGGACATTCTCTTTCAGTGCTATCAGGCTAAAGTTAGCATTTTCCAAGATCTCCTATTGCGCCTTTAAGAAGAGTTCACTATCATAGGCCAACTCATCTTAAATCTCACTGTCTTGGATTCTCATTTAATTCTTCTGTTTTCCTATTTTAAGGCCTAAAAGTTTGTCGAGGGCCCTTCTTTTCATCCCACCTGTCTTTGCTCCTCATTTGCCCATATTTTTTTTTAACTCCTTTTTCTCTTTTAAAATTGATGACTACTGCTTTCCTTCTTCACTGCTTTTTAATTTCCTTTATGCTTGTGCTGTCTTTTATCTGCTTTCCTCCTGTGTTTTGCTAAGAGGTCTTCCAGGCTCTGCTCCAGACTTATGTAACAGCGCAGGTTCTTTTTTGATTTACTGCACAGGTGTTCAGAGACACTTCGCTGGCAGGTTTTCACTCATAAAATAACAACAAGAACGCATTTTGGGGAGAAAGAAATACATATGGAAAGGAAAAGATAGAGAGTAGACAGGGAGGTTAGCTGGAAGAAGAGAAGGTGTGGTGAAATACTGAAATAGTTTAGATTAATCACATGAAAGTCTGATCCTTAGAGCTTATAGTGATGACATCAAATGATAGCTGATCTGTTGTGCATCAAGGGAGCTATTTGAAAATGAGTTCATGCTGTGCTGTAAGTTGAAGGAATATTAGACCTATTGGGCTTGTATATGTGTGGAGACCCTCAGATTTCATCTGACGTTTACATTTTACTTGTCTTTTTTCTTGTCTACAGAGCTTGTGATCTTTCAGAACAGTCCAAGCTCCCACCACAAAAAACACACTCATCCCCCCTGAGGGACTGTGGCTGATATTCATGGCTGATATCGGGTGATATTTAGAAACACTGATTCTACGCTATGTGAGAACACTTTTATATGTTTTTTCCTTGTAGTTGTCATATCAGGTAATATCAAAGAACATACAGTATATCTAATGAACTAATACTTATTTCACAGTAACATTCATAGCTAACTAAAACTTTAGACAAGTAAACTAACAGCACAAATTATCATCTAAATGCATGCTAAAAAATGGCAGTTCACAGTGTTGGTTTCCACATAGGGTGAATCAAATTCTCTGTTATCTGTATATATTACAATAGATCAAAAACAGTGTTGCAGATTCTATTTCATCCTATTTTCCCTTGAGCTAAAAAAGAAGAGTGGTTTTTCACATCATAAATAGCAGATTGAATGTCATTTCGATTCTTTATTGGTACAGGCTCTTTCTTTCAAAAGAAATAAATATTTTTTTTTCAGCAAGGATGCATTAAATGATATAAATGCTGTTCTTTTTTAACTTTCTGTGCATCAAAGAATCCTGAAAAATGTATCAGTTTCTACAAAAATATCAAGACGCACAACTGTTTTCAACATTGATGATGATTAGAAATGTTTCTGAAGCAACAAATCGGCATATTAGAATGATTTCTCAAGGAACATGTGACACTGAAGACTTAAAGTTGAAAATTCAGCTTTGCTATTACAGGAATAAGTGACATTTTAAAAAATACATTAAAATAGAAAACAGAGAACTATTTTAAAATGTAATAATATTTCACAATATTACTGCTTTTGTGGTGTATTTGATCAAAAAAAGAGAGACTAAGTATTCAAAAGTATTTAAAAAATCAAAACTTTTATATGATATATCCTTGCGTTTTTCCCTGTCCAGTGGTTTGTTCCATATGTCTGATTTTGTCAAGTTCACAGTTGTTTTTAATGTGAATAAAATTTGGTTTTCAGCTTCTCTTGCCACTTACTACTGAGGACTCCTACCGAGGAGTCTAAATTGCACCTGTAGTTTGAAAGCTACCAAGGCTAATGCCCACTTGTTCTGGCAATCCAGGTTATTGGAGTCAGCAAAAGCTGATTGCGGTGAATGCTTTCCAAACTGCATGCAATCACGGAAATGAATCCCAAACCCTGCATGATACACTGCTCAGACAAAAGAGCCTCTTCAGCAGCCGACTGAATGTAACACATTGCCTGAAAGAGAAAAACAGGCACACATTTGTTCCAGCAGCCATCAGGCTCAGCTATGCATCCCCCAGCCAGCTAAACAAAATCAGACTAATTGGTGGCTGTTGAAGCAATACGGACACTGTACTAACTATTTAGTCATTGTCATAAAAATAAGTCAAGGCTATCAGGAACTAATGGAAGTTTCCTACTATTATGGCACTCACTAACTATGAAATGCCAATTATTAAATAGACATTGTGTCTTATTGTATTAATTTAGTTTTTGGCTTTAGCCTCTCACACTTGAAGATTCACTTATGCACATGGTTTACAAACTATAAAAATCTCAGTCCAGGAATTGATGTGGTCGGGCACATATAAGGTCATTTAACAAACATTCCATAAGCTTTTTCTTCAGGCAGTTTCTCATTTAATTGAAATAGGGGCTGTAATGCTTAACTGTTCCATGTGTGAAGAGAATCTTTTTTAATGTCATTACTTCAGATCGGACTGTTGCAGTTATAGCCAACCTTGCTATGTAGAAATAAATTCTGCATGTGTGTGGAGGCTGTAAACAGAGGCTGTTTGCAATTATACCACCCATTGGAGATCTCACAGCGGGCTATTGTAAACAAACATCCATGCTCCTCAGGGGGCACAGGCTTAAAGCTAAAGCCTTCAACAGAAAGAATCGCCCAAAAGTGAAGTCATCGTAGACGTTATGAACGGTTATAACAGATTTACATGGAGTTTTACTGCAACATGTTTGACTGTAATGCAACAAAAACATGATTGTTTGAATGTACATGGCAGGCAAAATAAATCAACACACAGTTGGGTTTAATCATGAGTACCCAGTAGAATTGTAAAAGTGTATATATATATTTCTATGTTGGAGGTTCATATCCTGAGATTTGATTGAGAAATGACAGAAACAACTGTGTACAAAATATATGAGCATATATGCAATAAGGTAAAGATAGGCAAACTGTTGAACATTTTTACAAGATGACTAACGTCTTTACAGGAAGATTGTAGATTCAATTTGTTTGGTAGATACCATTCCATATTTTTATATCAGCACAGCTGTTTTTGACTTCATTTAACTTTCATGTGGTCCAAAAAACACAGCCATGCAAGCCATTCATAAGTCACAGTCACTCCCAGTGAAATGATTAAGAAATTATTCCCTCTTTTTTAAATGACACCATGTCTTGCATATTAGCAGTGTTGGGAAGGTTACTTTGGAAATGTAATAGGTTACAGATTACAAGTTACCATACAGAGTCTTAAATGTAATAAGTAGTGTAACTTTTCAATTACTTTATTAAAGTAATGTAACTGATTACATTTGATTACTTTTTGATTACTTTTCAAAATTTCTAATGTTTTCAACTGTTTATCATTTTCAAACATGTAAACCAGGCAGGGTTAACCTTACAGTAGTATTCAACTGATTACTGTCAGACTTGCGAAATCCTTCATCGCTTGAATTAAGATTATATTTAAATTTTAAAGTAGACACTGGATGCAAAATTCACTTTTACATGTGTTTGCATATAAATGTATCTTAGCAGTGTGTGGACACAACCAACCTACAATGATAAAAATCTTGTAAGCAATGCAGGTGTTTTGTAGTTTTGTGATGTAGAAGAACATAAGAATCTTAATTTTCTTAAATTCGTTTATATCTGCGCAAATCATTTTACTCCAGACTGCTTTCTGAACAAGGGACAGTTCAAGGCAGGTTTTGTTAAAAAGTTAAAACTCAAGGATAGATCAGTACCCATTGTTCGTGATCCAGCTGCACCTCCAGAAGTAAGTCTGACACTTTATATTTTTTATGATTATTTGCAGAACGCGTTTGCTCTTTCACGGAAGAAAGGGGCGGGTGAGCAGAGCTCATTAGCATTTAAAGGGACATGCCCCAAAATGAGTCACTGTGAACAGAGCAAGGTAAAAAGGGTGTTGTTTTACACAACCACTGAGGAATTTTAACCAAAGTTTGTTGCAGATTGTTCATGAAGACCCTTAAAAATCATACCAACTTTTGGAAGATCAATGTCCCCTTTGAAGCACAGCCACCACATAATCAGACTTACTTTGAGATAATTCTGAGGTTAAATACATATATAAAATCATAACATGAAATATTTTATTAGCTATGATACCGTTTTTGAAATCAAATCTTTACATAGCTATGACAGTAAACACTGGAATCTAACAATGCCTTGGAAAAAAACTGTTAATCTTTAAAAAAAATTAAGCATGGCTATATATAAACCCATATATGAAATAAAAGAGTTATCGAATAAGCTTGTTCTAAACTCCTGAAACATTGTTGTTTCGTATTTTAGAGCAGTCACTGCAATTTATGAAAGAAATCAATTAAATTTGTATGTGGGAGGGTGTGTGAAAAAAGCAGATAACCCCCTTTGTAATCCTTAACATTTTCATAAGTAACTGTAATTTAATTACATATTATTTCTCAGTAACTGTAACTGATTACAATTACTTTTATTTTGTAATTAAATTACATAATTCCGTTACATGTAACTAGTTACTCCCCAACACTGCATATTAGTAATATGAGGATCTGTTAGCAGTCATGACGGTTTTGCCCATTGCTTTGCTCACTCATAATATGTTAGTACACTCACTACAAAAGTCTGGAAACAATAGTGCCTGACATTCACTTAATTCTCTGTACTGTGTTGTTTATAAAGATGAAGTCGTTGACAATTTTGGAGTCCAAAATTGCTTATGTGGTTTCAGGTTTAGATGCAAGTAGTTTTGCCCCATCAAAGGACTGATGGTGTCTAATTCTGTACTATCGGGGATACATTTCAATATCACTCCCTTGAGGTTTATGTGAGAAACTAATCATAAGATGAGAACAATATATATTTCCAAAAAGTTCTGTCCCCCTCTCTCTCACACACAATCCATCTCTCTCCCTTTCTAACCTTAACAGCTGTGCCCAGGCTCTCACCTCTTTTGTTAAAAGCCGTGGGGCTGAATTTAACAGTCAACATTTCCTGTTCATGTTCTTCAGCACAAATTATTTTGAAATGTGTCTGACAAAGGATATGATCTTGGGACAAATTTCAGTGAAACCTGATAACTGGAAAACATTGCAGACTCAGTTCTCATCTATTTTTCACTCTCATTATGTTAGAAAATGTCTGTTATCTATTATCTATAAGTCTGATTACATTGACTGCAATGTCCCAATGACTTCACATTGTTTGAAACGTTTTGTTTTTATATCATATATGCACAGGAATTTACTCAGTCTCACTAAAAATGTAATGTGATACAGAATTGTTCCACACAGGGTTTAGTTTCAGTTCTTTTGAAGTCTTTCATGTGGTGATTTAATTAATTTTCCAAATGTTTAGTGTGCTCAAATTTATTGGAATTTGAATTTGAGCCTTGCAGATGTTTCTCAGTGTGAACTCGTATTCCGCTTCATCATGCCTTTATTGTTGTTGTTTTTTTCCTTCTGCATGTCTGTAGAATATATATATATATATATATGACATTTATGTATTTTATTGATATTTTTATAAATCACAAATTACCTCATATTTGTCCCGAGGGACTTTGAGTTTTGAGGTGTATTTGTCCTATGAGGACAAAATTTAATTATTTCATGACTATTCGTCTCAAAATCTTTACTGTCAGTGTTGTAAAAAAAGCATCAACACAACAAATGAGGCACAGCAAGGTGTTTCTATTCCAAATCAGCCAATAATAGTTCAGTAATTTAAATACTCCATCTAGGGAAGTAGATGATAAATATGTGCATTAGTTTTAATGGTGGACTGAATTTTAGGTTATTTCCTGAATTCTCTATCGTATTGAAACAGACACTCACAAAGCTGTTTTCTATC